ACGGCGGAGGGGAGGGGAGGAACGAAGGCTCCGTGGGCGAGGGGGGCTATGGGGGGCATGTCTGGCGGGCAGGTGAGTATGCCTAGGCCGATGGATGGGGGGGTGATGGCGCCGACTGGGCTCCCAGGGAGAGGACAGGTGCCGACGCCGAGGGGCGGGATACCGAATACTGGACCGATGGAGCAGACGAGTTTTCCGCGGGGAGGGGGGATGCATGATAGAGTTGGGGGGAATCAGTTTAGTGTCACCAAGGCTCCTTGGGCGAAGGACTGAGCATGAAAGAGGTTGTTTTGTTATGCTGTATACGAGATACCCGATTAAATATGGAGAGAACCTTACGGAGCCCCTTATTTATCTTATCGGTACCCCCACCCTACCTATTAACTTACCTTTCCTATAATATAGTTAAAAGCCTTAAAAGAAAAATAATAAGCGTTTAATTCGTCTTCAAGGGCCTTCAAATGATTTTCAATAGCCTTCAAACTATCTTTTAGAGCCCTTCAACTATCTTTTAAGCCCTTTTAACTATCTTTTAAGGCCTCATAACCATCTTTTATCGTCTTTTAACTATCTTTTGGAGCCTATTATATACCTTTCAATTCTAAATATTTATGCTTTGCAATATAGTTCAATCCTATATCTAAGTGGAGGTTGGGGGGGAGGGGGGGTGTTGGTAACATAAATAGGGGGCTCCGTGTAGGTTCTCTCTAAATATGTACAAGTTATTGATAACTCCTCGCTAGCAAATGCGGCTTCCGTTTGTTGACATCAAGAATCAGCTGACCAAACAGCCCATTCGCCCAGGAGAACCAGTGACGAGTCCAGACGCTGACGCTGTGAGTGTTGACGCTCTCGTGCATGAGACCCAACCCGTCTGTCGACGACAGGAGCTGTTTGATACAGCTGTAAATCTCGTCGTCGTCATCACTGGTGAGAGCCTGGACGATGAGACCAATGGGCCATGCCATCCCCGGACCGATATGTGGCCCTCCCGTTCTGTTTTTCGTTTCGTCAGCCACAAAACTGTCACACCGCCGGAGCAGAGATTCATATGCACACTCACGCATTCAAAACCGGCCCAAACATGTAGTAAGGGTTCATCTGACTCAGCGCAAACCTCCTCGTCCGCTGGTACGTTTCGTCTCTTCGGTCGAGGTAGCCGCCTAGCAAAGGGGCGGAGAGTAAACTGGGGATGTTGGCGTCGTCCATCAGGCTGTGGGAGCCGTAGCCGTCGACTTCGTAGGCGTAGATCCTGCCGTACAGTCTGTGATCTATCCTCCCGTGATCCTCTATCCCGGCTCTGATCTCCGCTGCCAACTTGGATATTTTTTTGGATGTTGAGGGCGAGATGGGGCAGATGTATGGGTATAGGAGGGAGAGGTAGGAGGAGAACATCATGTTTCCGGGGATGAAACCCTGGTAGGTACACGCGTCATCGCTAGGGCGGAAGGCACTCCTGACTAGGTTGGTACCAGGGTGAAAAGGCGGACCGGAGCCGGCGTTGGGGAGGGTTTCGGTTGAGGTTGTGGTTAGGCGTTGGAATTGGTAGGGGGCGTAGGAACACGTGCCGGTGCGGGAGTAAGTTCCGGTTTGGAGGTCGGTGGTGATGGAGAGGATTCTCTTGAGGGCGGGGAGGAGGTTGAGGGAGGTGGTGAGGAAGGGGGTGTCGGAAGTTTGGGTGAGGTAGGTGTGGATGAGGGAGAGGAAGGAGGCTAGGGAGTCGAGTTCGTATTCACATTCGTGGACGGTTTTGGGGGAGCCTGGGGAGGAGGGGAGGGGTGGGTAGATGTGATCGGTTGGGAAGTCGTTTTTCTAGGGAGGGGGGATGAGGGATTCTAGGGGGGCGAGGAAGGCGTTGCAGTGGGGGGCTGTGAGGATGTAGCGGGCTTGGAGGTTGATGAGGCCGCGGTAGAGGGAGGCGAGGGAGGAGGTGGAGTTGGAGGGGGTGAGGAGGGGGGAATAGGAGATTAGTTGGTGGGCTGAGTCGCGGAGCCACATGGCGGGGATGTCGCCGGTGGTTATGAAGGTGAGTTCTTCTTCTGGGTCGTTGTTTCCTGTCGGCTTGGGGGGTGGGTCTGGGCTGTTGATGTCTGTGGGGAGATAGTTGGAGGCATTCCTCCAGCTAAGTCCCTTCCAGGTTATGGCTGTGTCGAGGGTGTTGGGGAAGCAATTCTCAAACAGACGGAACAAGTCTGGGTCTTTGATGACTCGTTTCATGGAGATGATGGTATCTTCCACCTCTGGGAGGGTAAAGGTTCGACATGATGGGCGTGGTCTTTGATAAGAGAGCTTGTAACGACCTGTTGACTTTGGTTCATGATGGGTGGAGGAATAGCCAGAGTAATCGGGGCAACTTGGAGGTTCTGGTTCAAGGGTGAGCTGAGCTCTGGGTGGTTGAGCTTGGGCAAGCACAGCAAGAGTATGAACTAAGAGAATAGATGCCCTCATCTTGGGCCAAACAGACGATAAAAGAAAGACATGTTCACTTGAACATTCGCGTGAGCCACACTTGGGGGTGGACTAGCATAAATGTCAATGATAAGAATGCCCAGGTTATGCAAGGGAACATCATCTAGAGTATTGGGATATTTTCAGAGACATAGACCCCAATTCAGCTCTGCAGCGGGCGGCAGTTGCGTTCCGTGGACGACATGACAGCGGAAAAAGATCTGGCTGAATGGAGAACCTCTTGGCTTTACGGGAGAGCACCTGGTTTGGGGAAGCTGAAGAAAAGATGGTGGAGGGGAATATGTTGCACTGTGTTTAACCGCACAAAAACACACTGTCACTGACATGTGTTCCTGCAGGCCGGCATCGTGGCCGTTGAGGCATAGTGGGTGGACACGTCAAGTCAGATTCCACTCTCACTTGCATCCAACAATAAGCGGCCATGGTGTAGTGGTTAGCATTAATGCCTTCCAAGCATTAGAGTCGGGTTCGATTCCCGATGGCCGCATTCAAAGACACATCTCTGCTGTCAAGCACAGTGTGAGGAGTTACCAATATCTTTTGTTTCCTTGGGCCCCTACCATTTTTGGATGATTTTTGGGATGGCTTGGCGGTGAGGTTCAAGGTTGAGATGACATGTTGCTTTGGGACAGAGAACCCCTCCATTTTCTTGCATCTACACACATTTTCGACCCAGTTTCCTTCTATTTTTGTTTCACAAGAGCACTCGATACGCGCCACAATTGACAGCTCTCCCCTCTTCCAAGAACAAATGCCATGATCAACCCCGCATCATCCACACGGGAAATCTTCTGTGCATTTTCCGGGGGCGGCTCATTCTGGACGGCGGATTATCGGCATCCTTGCAGAACTTGGCATCGGATAATCTGCAGGGCGTCCCCTGTATTGGCTTGGCTGCTACTGCCTGGGGTCTTTGGGGGGGGTTGAGAGGCGGGAGGACAAGCTCCTGCAAAGCAGACTCTTGGACGTCTTGTCAAGTGGCCTTTTGAAGGGTCTTTTTCTTGAGCTTGCCATCATGAGTGTATCATGAGGACCGTCTCTGTTTGTTTTGTTTCGGCCTTTTTCATCTGACTATGACGCTGCCTTGATGTCAACGACAAACAACACGATGTGCTCGCGGCATTGATTGCTTACCAACTCGATTTCAGGATATCAAGGGGGAGTTAACAGGTTGCGGTATCTTTATGGAATCAAAGATGAGGAGAGCTGAAGAGAGCTCACCATTTCGCAAGCCGTTCAGCATGGCGGCTGCTCCGTTACGTTTTAGGGGGATGCCCCGGAGGAGTCGCTTTGTGGTGTATGCGTTGGTGTTTATCAGTTTCTTGTATCTGATACCGAGGATGCACTTGGGTATGGGTGGGACATTATTGTTTTTCTTGATATCTCCCGAGGCTGCTGGACCTTATGGGGGTGGACACAAGGTTGATATCTTGCGATATGTTGATCCCTTGATCGGGACGACGAATGGTGGTCATGTTTTTCCTGGAGCATCACTGCCCTATGGTTAGCCCTTCTTCTCATCTTTCCTAGGCCCCATCATTAACACCAGCTCTAGGCATGGCCAAAGCAGTCGCCGACACAAACAGCCACGCTGAAAACGCCGCCGGCTTCGTGTCTGACAACAGCGAGATCCTCGGCTTCTCACATATGCACGACTCTGGGACAGGCGGCCAGCCATCCATGGGTAACTTTCCCCTTTTCGTCCATGCAGGCTGCCCAGAGGATGATCACAAGCAATGCGTCTACTCCCTCATGGACCGCCCCATCGCCAGAGTCAACGGCTCCGCCTTTGCCGCCCCAGGATATTTCAGCCTCAACCTCACCAACCATGTGCGCGCAGAGATGACAGTCACTGAACACACAGCTCTGTACCGCTTTTCCTTCCCAGGAAACGACACCCTCACGTTGAAGAGCGACGACCCGCTCAGGAAGAAGGATGTCGATATCACTTACTCGCCTATTATCCTTGTTGATTTGGTTGATCTGATGAACAGCAGGTCAACGGGCGGGATCCAGGTGTACAATCAGTCTGGACGTATCGTCGGTGAAGGACAGTATCAGCCTTCTTTCGGAGCGGGAAGATACAACGCCTTTTTCTGTGCCGACTTCAAAGGTGCTGCCATTAGAAAGACGGGGACGTTTATCAGTAATAATGCCACTGAAGGAGTCAACTTTCTGGATGGGGTCGGTAATGGCTTTTACATCCCCTCTGGCTCGGCCGGTGCCTGGATTCAGTTTGAAAAACCGGTTGAGAACAACCATGAGATTATGGCTAGGGTGGGCGTGTCTTTTATCAGCGTGGAACAAGCTTGTGACAATGCTGAGAGAGAGATTGCGGACTACAACTTTGAGAGGGTGGAGAGCCAGGCGAGAAAGGAGTGGAGGAAGAAGCTGGAGGTGGTTGAGGTGGATGGGACGGGAGTGAGTGAGGATATGCTGACCACTTTCTGGTCGGGGTTGTACAGGACATTGCTGTCGCCACAGAATTATACGGGGGAGAATCAGCTGTGGAATAATTCCACCGAGCCATACTTCGACTCGTAAGTCTTTGCCCAAGACAGCAGATGCAGGACGACTAACATGCCGCAGATTCTACTGCATCTGGGACTCCTTCCGAGCCCAGCACCCCCTTCTGACCATCATCGACCCCCCAGCCCAGACAGACATGATCCGCGCCCTTATCGACATCTACCGCCACGAAGGAAAACTCCCCGACTGCCGCATGTCCTTCAGCAAAGGCTACACCCAAGGCGGCAGCAACGCCGACATCGTCCTCGCCGACGCCTTTGTCAAGAACCTCACCGACAACATCGACTGGGACACTGCCTACAAAGCCGTCCTCTCCGATGCGGAAGAAGAGCCCCAAATGTGGGGTGTCGAGGGCAGAGGCAACTTGGAAAGCTGGCATAAACTGGGGTACATCCCCTGGGACGACATCGACACCAACGGCACAGGCCCAATGTCCCGCTCCATTTCCCGCGGTGTGGAATACGCCTACGATGACTTTGCCATCTCCCTCCTCGCCTCCGGCCTTGGCCACGACGCAGACGCCAAAAAATACCACCAGCGCGGCTCCAACTGGAGAAACTACTGGAACCCGCAACAGGCTGACCTCTACCGGGAAGACCCAGACGGTCCGGTGCTCAAGACAAAGTTCAAGGGGTTCATGCAACCGCGCAAACTAGACGGCTCGTTCCGCTATGAAAACACCCGAGCTTGCTCCCCGGTGCACAACATGCACATCTGCTACTACGACACTCATCTCAGCTCCTACGAGGGCTCACCGTGGCTGTACTCATTCTTTGTCCCGCAAGACATGGACAGCTTGATCACGCTTATGGGGGGGCCGGACGCGTTTGTGGAGAGGTTGAATTACTTCCACACGAGCGGGATTTCGTACATGGGGAATGAACAGGGTTTTTTACCTGTTTTCCAATTCCATTATGCCGGGCGACCGGCGATATCTTCTTACTGGGCGCGCTCTTACATCCCTTCGCTGTTCAACAGTTCAGTAAACGGCATCCCGGGTAACGACGACTGTGCCATGGGTGCATTCTCGGCGTTTGCAATGATGGGGTTTTTCCCCGTTGCAGGACAAGACGTCTACCTGCTCACGCCCCCGTTTTTTAGGGAGGTGAAGATCAAGGCGAAGTCGGGGGGAAACAAGTGGGCGGTGATCAGGGTCAAGAACTTTGATCCGGAGGGGAGGAGGATATACATCCAATCTGCCACCCTAAACGGGAGGAGATACACCAGGAACTGGATCACGCATGAGTTTTTTATCAAGGGGGGCATCCTCGAGTTTGTGGTGGGCGAGGAGGAAGGGAAGGAGTGGGGGAGGGGGGAGGAGGGTAGGCCGCCTAGTTGGTACGGTGATGAGGATTTTGGGGATTGGGATGGGAATAAGGGGGTGGAGGGGGTGGATGCGGAGGAGGAGGAGAGGCAGGCGGGGAGGAGGGGGAGATAGTTTTTTTCTTGTGGTTTTGGTGTTGGTGATGTATATAGGGCAGCAGAAGAAATAAATGCTGGAGGTATAAGTGAAGTGCATCTTCAAGGTGTCGGTGACTAAAAACGCTTCGATAGGCCTTATACACATATCACCAGGCCTTATACACATATCACCAGGCCTTAAACGCATATCACCTGGCCTTAACCGCATATCACCAGGCATTGAACGCATATCACCAGGCATTAAACACATATCAACAGATCCCAAAACAGCTTTAATAGGCCTTAAAAACATATTTGAGGCTTTGAATACATATCAACAGGCCTTTCGAGATAATCAAGAGGCCCCAGGAAAGTGGTGCAATCGGGGCGGTCACATGATGTGCTCCATCTCTCCAAGCCAGCAGTTTTTTTGCCTAATTTTATGTATCACAAAATCATGATTTCACGCTCAAACTTTTTACTATGAGAATAAGTTTCACAATTCTGCAATCCCTCGTTTTTTGAGTGATAGCTCACAATATCTCACCCTGCGCAACATTGGCAAAGTTTTTTGTGTGAGACGGGGCATTTTTCTACCCCTCCTTCATCAAAAAACTTACTACCCCTCCCC